AGAAGCTGAAGACCACAGACTGCAGAGCGCAGAGTCTTTACTGCAGGGTTAACTGGAAACTTCCTTGAAGTTCAGGTCTCAGCTTTGTACTAAATCACCCAGTTTGAATGAATTTCTGCTTTCAACTCAAACCGCATAGCCATGGGCAGGAAAGGGAAAAACACACCCTGTCAGCTGCCAACGCAGTCAATCTGCAGCATTCAACTCTACTGCAGCTAATCCAGTTGGGAGGGCAGAGCCTTAAGGCAAGGGCTCTTACAATGCAAGGAATGTCACCCACAGTACAGCTATGGTCTTTATGGTCAGTTTTTGTTTTATTTTCTGGCAAACTTTTGCATCCAGTACCAAAAGAAAGTACTTGAATAATGAAGATATTTGTGTTTCCTCAAAACCCAAAACCTGTGTATCAAGTGGAATGTGAAGACTCTGTTCTTGGACACGATTCCTGCAGTGTTTCAGAAGACAGTCTGCATCGTTTGGTACAACATCTCTCTATTGCAGGACAGTATCTCTGAGGCCCAATTATGCTGCTGCAACTCAGAGAACTACTTCACATGTACTTGGGTTTTACGTATTTATTTTTTTTTAACCTTTGGTATTTTGTAAACATTGTCTTGAATTCTAATGCAAAAGTGCTCAGAGGGTTTGTGCCTGCTAAGGGTGTTTGCTCCTTCCTCATGAAAGGAATGGTTATTAATTTCAACAGCATCAAGATTTCACATCTGAAATCTCCAGGTTGGACACAGACTAAAAGAAAGGCGATTGTGCATGTGAATATGATAAACGTAATCCCATAACAGCAACACTTACTTTACCCACCATTAAGGGACACACTGCAACATGGAACAGATTAAAAACCACCATCCATCTTATGATACAAGCATAACTAGCAAGGAGGCTGGCAAACATATTAGGTGTCACTCAGGAGAATTCAGCAATTCTTATTCTGCACCTGGCTTTTAGATTATTGCTCACACTGCAGCTGGCAGATTTACAATAGCACTGGCTTTAAGTGATGACCAGAAAAGCAACATTATAGCCAGAGATCAGTAAAAAAGTGGACAGCTTATTTTTCTCTATACTGTACTGGGCACACAAAGATATTATAATGTCAACAAGCTTTAGCTGACTAGAGAACTGCTTTTGCAAATAATATTTACAAGCTGGTGAGAAGCTGCTACCACATAAGGGAAAACAGGGCTTGGGCTTTCATTAAGGGAAAAGTGGATATTCCTCATTTAGAGACAGGATTGTGAAAAACCCAGAACAACAACACAGGCTTTCAAAGACCTTATAGGTGCTAATAAGCCCCATCATTCCTGTTAGTATGTTTAGCTATTTTCAGGTAATTCCCATAGAAGTAAGGGCTATTTTATGATGGAAGCATGGGAAGGACTTAAATGCAAGATGTTGGACATGCTGTTGAGAGCAGTCATAAAATTAGATATGTCAAAGCATGAGTGGCATTTGGTGCCTACCATCATTGATGACTATTTTCATGCCCAGGAAGCACTCCTTCATAATAAGTAATAAGCAATACACTGACCATATTCATGCTGGTAGATAGCTGCATTTCTGTCTGCCCATCCACTGGTACTTCAGATGCCTATATTTCTCATTAAAAAAAAAGTACATCAGGTACCCTGAAACCTTTCCAGATCCTGTGCAGGTTACCCTTGAAGCACAACAGAAAGGGAAACACGTGCGTCTGCTGTTCCCTCACCACTGACACAGCCAAACAACTGTTTGGGGGCTGTTTTCCTTGACTTAGGAAACAGAAGATATGCTGTTATTGGCAACAATGAAGTGTGTCTCTCTAAAGACGTTATGGCTTGTTTCAAGTGGATAGATATAAACTGGGGAGAAGGAGAGGGTGAGATCTACCAGTACTGAAACAAAGAGGAGGCAGGCAGCATGGCTCTGGACAAGCCAAAGCCATGAGCGGTTAAAATTCGATAACATAATGTGGGAGAAACAGGAAATGGAGGACTGGTGCTCCCAGAATCTTCCCTGGTTAATGCCATAATATGTCTCCACTTAATGGACACTGTTTAAATCTACAGCTGCCTTAGGCAGACAGAGCTGATAACTTCTTTACTGTGTCCAGAGCTCAGAAGGGACCTACAGCTAGTGGCTGTAAAGCCAGGCAAGCAGTTGCCAAACAGGCAGCAGCAGGTCTGCCAATCCAGCTTCAGCCTAAGCATGGCCAAGAAGGGCTGGCAGCTGTGCCACTGCATGACTGCATCAGATGGCAGAGGCAGGTGCTCTGGCGTGCCTGCCCAAGATGTTCCAGGCAGGAACAGCGGGACAGCAAGTATTGCACATGCTGGACATGCTAAACTCACAGCTTCTACCCACAGGCCATACGGTAGCTCCAAACACTCTTCTAGATATTATGCAAATCCTAAACGATATTGTGGCACCTGTAGCGCTGAGGCTAAAGCCTTCTCACCCTAACAAGCTTGCCCGAGTACATCTCCAGAGTCAGAGCAAGAGCTCATGGGGTAAGTGGAGTATATGGGAACTGGGTTCTTGGAGCACGGTAGGTTAAACTTACGATTTAGTGATTTATTTTCTTTTTTTAAAATACTTTGGAATGTCAGGGTTACCCCTGCAGCCTAAGGCAGTAATGAATTTACCAAAATTTTGATGGGAATCCTACACAAGACTATTCCTGGTTTAACCATCACTTCTGGTCTGAGTGCACAGCAATTACAGTGCTCATTCACCATGTCCACAGTGAATTTTCTTCTCCAAAGAAAACTGAATAAAGTGCTTGCTGCAGTTTTCAGTTTCAAGTTTGTCCTCGGTCATTAGCAGTGTTTATGAATCGTAGAATTTGAGGGCAGAGGGACAAAGGGTATTGCTTTTTCATTTGATCACTGAAGCCATGCTATATTGACACAAGGATGGAAATAAACCCACATAATTCACTTCCTTCTGAAACCATGAAATTATTTCAACAGTCTGAACTTGTTTGCCTTGAACATGTACCTGGACACAACAGGGTGAACAAAGATCAGTATTGGGTTTCTGCTCCTGCTGATTTTTCTCCTTCAACTATTTATAGCAAGGATGTCAGAACAAACCATTTGGCACCCGTCATGCAGTGCAAGACCATTAGTCTCTATGACAACCTGATCAGAATAAACTTGTGAAGAAGTCAATTTCACAATAAAAATTAAATCTGTCAAACTATGGCACCTGCAAGGAATGGGTAAGGAAAGGAAAGGGGAAAGAACAATAAGGGAAGCTTTTTCTGGCAGGGAGGGAGGAACAAAAAAACCCAATAAAACAACAAACAAACGAAAAAACAACCCACCACCCCAAACCGTAAAATCTTCCTGCCAAAAGGGATTGCACTTCCCAGGTTTCTTAAAGCACAGCTGTAATCTGCTTCTAAATCTGCCAGGAATGTATAGAAATGTCTTCTTAGAACTGTTTTTCTACAAGGACTAAGCTGCATTTCAACAGACTGTGCGCAGTGTGTGGATCCTGCTTATGCTTCTTGACTATGGGTAAGTGCAACAAAGAGAGAAGGGCTTGTTTCGCTTTTCCTGCTGCCACACACTGGTTTGAACTATCAAAGCATAAGGTTATTCCAGAGTTCAGCTCCAACACAACCTTCTCATATGCAATACCCAGAGAACGCCAGTTTTCTGTAATGTCATAGGTGAGTGGTTGGCATAGAGAATCTACACACAGGATACAACAGGGGATATAGACTTTTACCTTTATAGAAGAGTACCACAATCTTCTGAAAGGCTTTCATGAAGTGGATGTTGTCATAACAGTATTCTTGCACCTTCTGAAGAAGAATCAACTCTGACTGGCCTTGAGTGCTGAACACAGCAAGCAGAGGGGCATATTGCTAAAAGGAAGAGAAGGTGAAAGACAAAATGCATGTTAGTATAATGAAAAAGGAAATAAACTAATGCAAATTTTTAATGTATGCATCAATTTAATTCCCAAATCCCTAGGTTTACTTGCCAATTGCATTTACTTAAATGCATACAACACATATACATAAATATCCCTGAGCTTTTGTAAGATGTGCATGCTGTGAGCTAAATTTCAGTACCACTTACAGATACTGAATTTTGTAAAACTAACTTACAAAGTCCACATTTTCGAGTACTGCTGTTTGTACACTTCACAAGGTAGCATGCTGCTAATCCAAGAGTGATATTTATTGATGTTCATAATGTAAGACGTCCAAGAATGAACTGCATGAAAATATAAATCTCTTGTTTCACAGGCATTTCAGAAGTCCCAGGAAATGAAATTAAATTAGTCCAGATTAACTGTGATCAAGTGTTATGATTTTTTTCTCGTTACCACCATCAGGGTATCATGACAACCTTTGCTTTGATAAACATTTTCACATGTTAACATTAGCAGTATTAACTGCTAATGTTATTCTGACAAGACAGTAGCAGTACATTTCATTGTCTTTTCCTGGAGTTTATTAAGATAAACCAAAAACTTCCTTTTTATGCAATTTTTCCCCCTCTTATTTCAGCTCTTAAAAATAAAAATGACATTAAAGGACTCTATCTTGTTCACTCTTTCCTTAAAAGTGACAATATTTCTATCCATATCTCCTAATTTCCTTTTCTCTTAGCCTGTGACGAGTCCAGCTAAGACTGCAGTCTTAAATTTAAGGTAATATTAAAAGCATTTTTCAGAACTGAAGGGGAAGACAAATCACCTTTGGTCTGCAGAGCCCCTGGCTAAACATATATTAAGATTAGTATTTAAATTGTTCTTGCACTGAGCAGCTCAGCCTTTTTTCAAGGCCAGGCTGGACAAGTCTAGGGTGAGGCGCCCCTGCCCATGGCACAGGGTTGGAACTAGATGATTTTAAGGTCTTTTCCAAACCAAACCATTCTATGATTCTATGGTTTGTAGTAACACTCTCAATTTGATGTTTTTCTGGCCTGTGTGACCAGGGCTGCAGATGGATGTGGTGCTAACAAAACACTTGCCGCCACAGCACTGAAGGGCACGTTCAAAAGTACGTACACTTCAGGACTTCTCTACAAGAGGCCAAATCCCAAGAGATTTACTAAACATGACCCATGGAAAAAAATATTAAAAAATCTGAAAATCAACTGAAATTTGAAAGGTTTGTCCAGAATGTCTTTTACAAAATAATTATCAGCCATTAATTTTATGACAGAGAGATCAAGGAATCACACTGCAACTGTAACAAGAGCAGCTAGGTAGGTGGATAATATTAGTACTTCTGGAAGAAACTCCCTTACAAAGTAACTATGAGAAATGACTAGATGTAGCTAACACCACAGATGCCTTTCCACATCTGGCAGGAATAGCCACATCTTTAGAAACAATGTTACTGTTTCAGTAAAAGCGCTGCAAAACTTGTGCAGACTTTGGGCAGCGGGACTCCCTCTTCTTCCCATTTTTGCCCTTGGAGTTTCCAGCTGGTATCTAGGCAAGCACCAGGGAGGCAGGGCAATACACACTGCAGTTTGTTTGTCTAATAGCCTCAGCAGAACCCACTCCATCCATAGGTTTGTGAAGTGCTGTAAGTGTTAAGGAATTAATAATCAAAATCCTGTGTTTTCAACTTAGAAGTAAGATACCTTCATTTTGCCGCATCCAGCTGACTCCCTTCACATTCCTTTCACTCCACAACTGGTGCAGACTTACAACTGTAAGTTTCACAAGTGTTTAACTGACTAAGGAACCATAAAATTAGCTTTCTCCCACTGCTGGCTGAACTAAGTGGCATGACTTTCCATTGCCCCAGGTTAGGTAACAACAGCAGGTCAGCAGCTGCAGGGTCATGAAGCTCACACCACAGCCTGGCTTGCAGTGCAAATTGTCTGGAGGATTCTTCACACCCATGGGGAATATCCCTTCTCTGCTCTGGAGGTGACCTAAGGGCTAAGCCCCAGTGTCACAGTCAGGTTACTGGGACAATGAGGAGCTTACCCTGTAAGATTCAGGGTTTAACAGCTTGCCCCATTTCCTCTGCAGTTCAGCTCTCGCCAGCCTTGCCATACGAATGGCACACATCACATTTACTGCACTGGGCACGCCGGTTCATGGCTGCTCACCACCTGCATTAGGAAGCCACCCATTCAGTAAGGTTTGTTAAGAACTGTGAACTAGGTCAATAGAGAAGGCTCGGGGGAGTACCTTACCGCTCTTGACAACTGCCTGAAAGGAAAACGGAGCAAAGACATGGCTGGTCTTTTCTCTCAAGTAACAAGTGATAGCACAAGAGGTAACAGACCAGATATTAGGAGAAATTTCTTCACCACAAGGATGATCAGGCATTGGAACAGGCTGTCCAGGGAAGTGGTGGAATCACTGTCCCTGGAAGGTTTCAAAAAGCATGTAGATGAGGCCCTCAGTGACATGGTTTAGTGATGGACTTGGCAGTCGTGGTATAGTGGTTGGACTTGATCTTAAAGGCCTTTTCTAATCTAGCTGATTGTGTGATTCTGTGCCTTTATACATCTTTTCAGGGGTGCCTCGTATACAGCTTATTAAAAGAAATCCAATAAATCAAAGAGCCTTGTATCCAGACATCAAAACTTTGGAAACTGTGCTTTGTGAAAGTTATCTGCCAGGTACAGCCATGCAACAAGAAATCCCACCACCTGGCATGTCCTGTGTCAACCACGTATTTATATGCATCTTGATCCATGCCACCAGGGTGAAACAATGCCGTGATTGTTTCAGGGCATGTCAACACACAAAGACATGGGAACTAAGCTCTGTGTCACATTAACAGTGTTAAACGGACTTCTGAAGTTGGCTCACACACTGGGTCAGCTGAGAGCTCAAACTGAGGAATCCAAGATCTGTTACCACCTATCCACAGAAGGATGTGAAAGAAATGCTGTTCATTTCTGAGCACTGAAATGTAAAACAGCAACTAGCAAAGCCTAAATTTCTATTTCTACTGCTTCTGTTAAAATCTTTCCTCTAAGTGCAAATAAAAAAATACCACATACAAACTCATCCTCTGTTTTTGGAAAGTGGCTGTAGCTGGAAGGATGCCTATCTGATATAGGCAAGATGTCTTCATTTAGTGGTGTTACGTACATAGCTACATATACTGGGTCAGTGAGATGCATAGAACTAGTCATCGAGTCAACAATATTTGTACAAAGCCAGCTATGTTTCTTTTCCCAATGCTCAAATACTCCAAAAAGTGTTTGTTGATTTGCCCTGCAGTACTAGACAATAAATCTCAATGGATACTCTGTTACAACTCAATAAGATATGATCAATTTTTACATCAAAAGAACAAGAAAAACAATGTCTCCCCCCCCTTCTGGAAACTATCTCCTCCTTCTACTGCTATTTGGGTCACTTGAAAAGACTTCAAGGCATTCAGTTTTATCATCAAAGACTGTACAAGATCCCAAGTGACTACATGTCTAGGATGACTGACTGGGAAACCAAATTCAGATGAAAGGACAGCAGCAGTAGCAGCTAAACCAACATGGGAAATCCAAGTATGGAGAGGCATCCAATATGAGAAAGAAAGGAATTCAGATCAAGCTTAACATACATTTAACCATAAAGTATAGCTGGCTTCTGTCCTAGGGCAAATCTTTGTAGCCCTGACTATGAGGGAGTATTCTCTTGGTCATGGTTCGCAGCTTAAAAAGAGTAATTCTGCTGAAAAGCCTCTGTTCTCAGTTCAACTGTCTTGTACTGCAATTCCTTCTGACTCAGATGAGTAATACCAACCATAGCAATGACTCTCATGTCTCTGCATTGTTTTTAGGTTTGGGATGGTGTTTTTTTTCCCCACTTCCAGGTCATTAGAGTTTCTGTACCAAGATCCAACTGTGATACTGCGATCTGTAATCTTAGCAAACTGCAGCCTGTCTTCCTATGTATTCAGTTCTCTCTTCCACAAGGTCAGTGCCTGGATCAGACAGTAACTACACTATACAGTCCACATGCTCTCAAGCCAGCTCCTGGGTTATTATTTGACAAGTTGCTGAGTATCCAGCTCCCACAGTCAACACAGGCAACAATCATTTTCACAGATTCTGAACTCAGCAGTCCCGCTTGTGCAAAACAAGCACAGGTGCCACCTCACCATGCTCCCAAAACTTCTTTGCTTCTGGCAAAGACATTACAAAGACAGTTCCTGCAGCCTTACCTTAGTAAGGTGTGAGCAGGGCTGAGTCTCAGCATTTGCTTAGCACTGTCCCCAGCGTAAGGAGATTCTCAGGATCTGACATACCGAGAAAGCACAACACAGATGTGCTCAGGCTGTGATCAAATCGGTTTGCTCTCTCTGTGCTATATGCCTTGGGGTATTCAATAATCTTAAATGCCTCAATTTTGCGTTCATTTGACTAAAGGAGAAGGGACTATACACAGTACTTAGTGTGCTCAGTGTCAGCCCTCAAAACACTCAATCTCCTGGATTTAAACAGGTAAAAACCTGGCAGCAGTGGAATGTTTTCTGTTACTTCATAGCAGCCCTTCCCCTCTTCACCCACACACGCACCTTTAGATGTTTGAGGGCTTGCTCTGCAACCAGCTCTTCCTTCTTGTTCCATTCCACAGCATTCATGACACAGGTCCACAGGAGACCTATCACCGCTGGCTCCGGCAGCTCATTTCTTTTCATTTCCTCTTTTACATAAAGCACTATCTGGAGCAGGAAGTAAACTGCTGTCTTAAACAACATTTCCGATCAACCAGAAACAATGCTGACTTATCAAATATTTGCAGTCATTTACAAATAACACCATGGTATAGAAGTAATAAGAAACAACATTGGAACAAGAATAATGAAAAGGAAGCATTTAGCATGCTTTTTTTAGCAACATTACTATTAACTTGACCATAAATTTTGTCCCTCCCCTCCAACCTAACAGTTAATCCAGTTAAATGAAATACATTCTCATCAAGCATAACTGAACCAAAAAACCCATAGTCAGCTGCACTTGTAAATCCAGAGGATGTCTTGTTGCTTTAATCATAAGCAGAGTGAATGGATGAATACATTAAAATAATTCAGAGGAAATCTGTGAGATGCACATATCTGTTCCCCTCTACCCGGTGTTGATTTAAGGTTTTGGCTATGATCATATAAACAGAAAGCTGGAAAACCCCACTCTTTACCTCTTTAATTGGGCATTCCTGAGAGAGACGTTCTTGTAGCTCTTTTTGAAGTTCTTTACGAGTCCCCAGTGACTGCTGAACTCTAAGGAAATCTGAGAGCTCTTTTAGACCTGCTTCAGTAAAGTACTTGGCAAAATGGTCCACATTCTGCCGGTTGGCTGGAAATAGTTCCTAGGAAGACGGGAATGCTTTCTGTTAAATAAATAAGCAATGACAACTCTTGACAGAACTGAAGGAACAATTTTTAAGAATGAACAGTGGGAATCACCTGGTACTGCACTTAAAAAAATAAAGTGCTTCAACACTGGAAAAGTCAACACTTCATTCATATTGTTGTGTTTCATTATAGTGGAGGAAAAAAACTATGGCCAGTTACGCAAAAAAGCTAACACCCATTCCGCATGAAGTGTGTGTACTTATGATGTTGCTCAAAACAGTCCTCAGAGAAACTATACCTTTTCCAGCCAGATTCCAAGAGTCTTGTAGGGAAAGCACAAAGAAATACATGGTAAAGCCATTATATATGAAGAACATTTACCATGCCTTCCCAGTGCATCCACTTCATTGGAGAAATACGCTTAGCCACACACACGTAAGTAGCTCAGGCACTCTGGCCTGATGTTGCTCCCCTGATGAGGGATGATCATCACTAATGCATCATTTAACAAAGACCACAAAATCCACTGTACTGCACTGTTAGTACAGTACAGTACAGTGGAGAAACATAGCTGGCTTTGTACTGTTACCACTAACTCCTGTAGGCATTGCTAATTCAAAGACACTGTCAATCTATGATTTATGAAAGTCCAGCTACTTAGAAAAGATAAAACTACTCTTAAAAATTGCTACAGCAAATGTCCCATCTTGGCAAGGATTCAATCGCATTTGCTTACGATCCAGTTCTTAGTGTCTATCAATGATTTGTGGGGTAGAGTTGGGTTTTTTTAACAAACAAGCTAAAGACCCTTAATCTGTTTACTGACTGACAATGAGATTAAGAGGAAACTTTCATGAAGGCATCTATGCTAGGCAACATCACCTGATGCTTTATAATTGTTTAATATAGCAGCATGAGAGCCAACAGCTGAAAGTTTAAGTCAATCAAGTTCAAAATAGAAGATGCAGTTTGCTTTCCTCCCCCTCTCTAATAAACAGTGTAATTAGCCCATTTCCCAGCTTTATGGCTAATTATTTATGACTTGGACTCTTAAAATCAAATACAATTTGATGAGATGAAGGGGTGTGCGAGGCTGCTTCACTTGTGAAGATTCTTGCTTAGTCATAAATTATTGAGGTAGAAACAGGAAATACTGCTGAAATTCTCCAGGCAGTGCTACACAGGATGCAGTGCATTGATTGGATTACCACAGCAGCAATCTTTTTTGAGGACTAGGAAAAAAAAGACTCATCTTCAGAAAGACACAGAGAGAGAAAGGCACATGACTCATGAATATTCATATATACTCTAAATACCTCGGGGCATTGCTACAAACTCAGAACACAGGTTTTGAGTCCAAAGGCTGAAAGCCTTCCTGCATTGCTCCTGCTAGATCTCCTGTGATCACTGCAGGACCATTTATGCTACCCAGATGGCTGTGCTTTCACTATACTATTTAAACACTGTCACTTTGGAAACTTATTTATAACCCTTTATACTTTGTTGTTTACAAAAGTAAAACATATTTCAACAAAATACAAATCCTCATGCACAGCTGCTGGTGGTGTGTGTTTTGTTAGCAGTGCTTAGAAAAAAACTCATTTAATTCCCAAGCCCCATATAGACAGTATTTCAGATGGCATCTGACTACAGGAAAAATAGACAGAATGTAAAATCATGTGATATTTAATATTCCTGAACCTGTATCAATGCTACAGCCATAACAATATTGCTGTGATTCAAAATATTTAAAAAATTATGAGTCTGAGGGGGAGTTAACATGCTTACTGCAAACTCCCATCTGCATTGTATTTCTTTCTCCTTCCCAAGGAGAAAAAAGGATTATTGAAAATATATTGTACTTACTAGCAATCTTTTATCAAGGTTGGCTTTTCTTAAAGCAGAGGTAACAGAATTGGCATCTTTCTCTGCCATCCACGCTTTAAAAAGCTTTACAGCAAAAGAGGCTGCAATCCCTGTTCAAGGAAAAACACGTTTCAGCAATTTTCAACACGATTTAGAGATGGCTATAAGAATTACAAGGTTAGAAAGTGGTTATGAGAATGTAGAATGAAAACACTTCTTTGTGACGATGGAACTAAACACATAGAGCTGAAATGCTAATTTTTTTTCTTTAATAAAGTATTAATTTCCTGACATACGCTAGATTGATTGAAAATCTTTTCTTTCTGTAGCACCCATCTCCAGTCAACTCTTCAAAGATCTACTTTGCAATTATTTTTCCTACCTCCTCAATTTACAGATAAAGTCCAATGCAAAAGGAAAAAATATGCATTAAATCAGTTATGAAATGAAGGCACAAAATAATAAAGGATAGTCAGGAATAAGAACTAAACCCCTGTATCTTTAAAGGACTTTTTAGCAAGTCCTGGAATAGGGTTAAATAACTTTGCAACTTCAAGGTAACTGATTGTACTGCATCCTTGTAGAAGGCATAGAGTAGCTGATAGGACAAGGCACAAATACGATTTTAAGTGGAAAAATTCCTTCCTCAAGGCATGACTGAGTATTTTGAGCATTAAATCAAATGAACTCTACCTCTGTTAGCTTTGGGTTTCCCAGGGGAGCTAACAAACCATTAGCCCCACACCCCCTTTTTGCCTTCTCCTATTTTCTAGAGCAGCACCACCAATGGCTCTGCTCCAGCTTCTTGGCTGTGAGCAGCAAAGTGCAAGGAGCTGAAGGAAGCTGAAAGGTCTCAGGGATGGAGAGCCAGCTTATCCTTGTGGAAGGTCTCCTATAGGCCAGTTATGCTTCTCCATACTATACTCATATCAACATTTACAGTGCTGTTCAGGGTGGTGATAATGATAATTTTATACTATGCTACAGCCGGTGGCCATAATTGTCTGTTTCACCTCCAAA